ATATATGTCGCATTTTCTTTATCCATTTCTCGATGAACACAGGCCACTCCCTAAATTTAGCTACTGTGCTGCTACAGACACGGGTATGCATGGATCTCTGTAACAGGATGTCTTTAACTCTTTCTGGAAGATATCAAGGCAAGGGGACGCTGGATCAAGTGGAATTTCTATTTTTAGTTTTTTGAGGAATCTCCATACCAGTGGTTGTTTTCATTCCACAATAGCGAGGTTGAATCTGACGCATGAAGTGAGAATATTGTCTGTGGGCCCTGGACAGCTCCCATCCTCAGTCCCGGTTTCCTGGCCTATGAGATGAGGGCCACGCGGTTTCCGGCTTTGTTGCCATCCGCGTGCCTCCGTTTCCCTGTCTGTAACTCCGTGGCTTGCCAGGCCCTTGCCTCCCAAAGCCGAGACTGGCTTCCAACTCCCTCTAGACAGCTCCGCGCGGGCTCCGAGGGTCGCAGCCGCCTCCGGGTGCGCGGAGCTCAGCCCCGTCTCTCCCCTCTCCTAGGAGCTGCACCTGTGTGTCTCCCGGAAGCACTACGCCCTGGAGAAGGGGTGCAGACTGCGGGGGCTGCAGCCAGGCAACTACAGCGTGCGGATCCGGGCCACCTCCCTGGCGGGGAACGGCTCCTGGACGGAAGCCACCTATTTCTACGTGACAAATTATTGTAAGTCTCCCGGCGGCCTCCAGGGGCCGCTGTGGGCCCCTTGCTGTGGACCTGGTGTGGGACATTTAAGAGCTGACTGTGGGAAACCTGAGGGTGCTGGCCCTGGCCTTGGCTCTTGAGTCCCCGTGTGCCCAGGACGGGGTGTTTGACCCCTCCCTGACGCTGCGCTGTCTCCTGTGTACACCTGACCCGCTGCCTTCTCAGCTTTTGCGCTCTCAGGGGGAACAAACCATGGATCACTTTTATCAGGAAAGAAACATCACATCTGTTCGGTTGTGTGGAGACTTCTTGTCATTATTCCCTAAATAATCCCATGTGGCAACTCTTTCCATAGCATTTCCATCGCACTTGGTATTCTCAGTTACCTGGGCATGATTTAAATTGTATAAGAGGATGCAGGTCGGTTCTGTGTAAATACTACACCTTTATATATGAGGGGCTGGGACATCTTTGGATCGGGGTGTCCAGGGGTCCTGGAGACACCAGGGCATAACTGTAGTTGGGGGAAATGACAGGACCTGTTTCAGGGTTGGAGAAGGGTTTCGGTGACATGATGTCAAGGGCTGTCACAGGCACCTCTGAGGGATGTGTTAGCTCTTGTTCTGCTGTCTCCATCTTTGTTTCATTCTTCATTCACTCAGAGGTACTTTGCACTGAGCTGCATCCCCAGCCCTTTATTTTAATTTTGAAATAAGGCATCACTAAGTCACTAAGTTGCCCAGGCTGGGCTCAGATTTGGAGTCGTCCTCCCTCAGCCTCCCAGAGTGCTGGGGTTACAAGCTAGTACCACCACGCCTGGGTCCCCCTGTGTTAGTAGATGGGCCATGTCCTCTAGGGAAGGGGGCGGAGCACACCTGCTCTCCCTTGGGTACGGCAAGCATCCAGAGCATGAAGGCAGGGAGAGGTGGGGACCACAGACCACCCCTGGAGGTGGCGGCCTCCTGGCTGAGACCTTCAAGGATGCATGTGTGGCTGTCGAAGCGGGAGATCTGTTCAGCCCGTCACACGGTAGGAAGCCCTGTCAGCAGTGAGCTGGGGGGAACATTGGAGACTGGGAGGAGGAGGGATCTAAAGTAGTGGTGAGGGGAGACTTCTGCTTCCTGGCTGCATTTTCCAACCCTGGGCATGATGAGAAGGTGGAAGTGGGGAGAGATCCTTGCTGGCCTGGTTCTGGATGTGGCCAGCACTGTCCTGATGGCAGCGGAGTGTACTGCACAAACCTATTGCTGCCTGCCTGGGCTTAGTGCAGAGACCACAAGCTTGAGGGCACGGTGGTCTCAAACAACACCGGGCTCCTTCAGACAGCAGCCGTTAGGTTTGGAGTCTCCAGCCCACCTACACTTCTGATCAACTGCTTACAAATTCGGGGGTTCTCATGACCCCTGGGAGTAGCTAGTTGGTTAGAATGACTGACTCACAGACTCAAGAAAGTGCTGTGATTATGAAGGCAGTTTTATAATAGCCATTAGGTCAGGAGCCACCAGCTGGGTGTGGTGGTGCAGGTCCATAATCTCAGGGAGGCTGAGGCAGGAGAATCGTAAGTTCAAGCCCAGCCTGGGCGACTTGGTCTTGAAATAAAACACATTTCAAAAAAGGGTCTGGAGATGTAGCTTTGTGTATTGCCTAGTACTAAAAAAACCCCCCAGAGATGAGGACCCTACCGATAGGATGGGCCCTGGGGGTCCCCAGTGCAGTGCTGCCAGGTCCACACCACATTGAATTGGGGTGCACCCCATGTCAGTGTCCTCCCCAGCCAGATCCACTCTGAGCTTTGGTGTATGGAGCCTTTACTGAGGTTCCCTCGTGTGGGTGTGATTGATCCAGTCACCGTCCTTGGGACCGTGCTCCAGCCACCACTCCTGCTCCACCCCTGTCTCTGGAGGTCAGGTGGCTTCACGTCCCCACCCCCCAGCCCCCACCCCAAGCCAGGCCATCCCTATTTAGGGCTGACCCAAGGTCACGAGAGTAACAGACACCCCTCTTCCTTGAGAAACTCCAAGGGGTTGGCATCTCCCTTGGAGGAACCAGGGTCAGATGCTTTACCATGTGGAAAGGAGGCAAGCGCCTGGTGGAGATGCTGTCATGCTGCTCGGGGGAGGAGGAGGAGCAGACACAGGAGAGTGGCCAGACCTCTGCACTCAGGGTTCTCATTCAGTGACCAGATATTTACGGTAGCATTCTATGGGCTGTGGGCCTCCAGGGACAGGAGGAGGCAGCTCCTATGCATTCGGGGAGGAACAGGAGGAGGGAATTCTCAGGACAGAGCTGCCCCCTGCAGGCCTTAAGAAGCATTATCAAGAACTGCTCCAGACCGCCCATGTTCGAGTCCCCTCTCTCTCTGGAGCAGCTCTGGGACTTGGGCTAGGACCTTCTTCTTCCAACAAGCCTCCAACCTGTCGGTTAAATGGAGGTTGTCATTACCCCTCCCTCCTTGGTGGATGGGACCATTGAGTACCATGGTCTGCGTGGAGCTCTTCGAACTGTAGCTGGCATTTAGTAAGTGTTCAGTACATTGTTGCTGCATTATTATGGTACTGGGGATTGAACCCAGGGTCTTTGCACTAAGCTACATCCCAGTCCTTCTAAATTATTTATTTATTTTGAGACTGGGTCTTGATAAGGCTGGGCTTGAAGTTTTGATCCTCCTGTCTCAGCCTCCCAGAGTGCTAGGGTGGTAAGTGGCAGGGACCATGCCTGGCTGCACACTGCTATTATTAAGAACCTGAAAAATGAGATTTGTTCCTCAGCATTTGAGAACGTGTTTTCTTCCTTGCCTTTAAAGAGTCTGAGTGTATGAGCTTGTTCATAATTACTCACAACTTGACCTTGTTTGTGAATTTAAAAACAAAACCCTAAGACTCCAGATGACGTTTCTCCAACCAGTTCTAAAGGGGTCCTTTGGGAGACAAATGCATTTTCCTTTATTTAGCCTAGTATTTATTTTCTTGGTAGCCAGGTGTGTTAGTCAGCTTTCCATGGCTATATCGTATACCTGAGACAATTTGCTTATAAAGAGGAAAGGTTTCTTTTCACTCAACTTTAGAGGATCCAGCAGAAGACAGATCAGGCTTCTATTGGGGGTGCTGAGAGCAGTGGTGAGGAGTATGTGGCAGAGCAACTGCTCACCTCATGGTCAGGAAGAGGGAAGGGGAGGGAGGGAGGGAGAGAGAGAGAAAGAGAGAGAGGCAGACAGATAGACCAGGGTCCCACAAGCCCCTTTAAGGGCACAACCGTGAAGACCCCGTGACCTTCTGCTAGGCTCTGCCTCTCTCAGACTCCAGCACCTCCCAGTAGCATGACCCTGGGACCAAGCCTTTAACTCTTGGGCTGCAAGGGACATTCATGACCTAAACTGGTGTCACACGCCTGTCATCCCAACATTCTGGGAGGCTGAGGCAGGAGGATCACAAGTATGAGCCCAAACTGAGCAACCTAGTGATCTATTGAGACCTAATCTCAGAGTAAAAAATAAAGAGGCCTGAGTTAGGCCAGTGCTGCTGAGAAGTGGAGAAGTCCTCATTGTTGTTAGTGAACCTGTGGCGTGCATGTGGGACCACGGCCTTAAAGATTAGCCACATTGGCTGAAAATGGTGAGAATGAAAAACTAGCTGCTCTTGAGGCCAAAATTTGTCATCAAATTGAGCATTATTTTGGAGACTTCAATTTGCCACAGGACAAATTTTTAAAGGAACAGATCAAATTGGATGAAGGCTGGGTACCCTTGGAAATAATGATAAAATTCAACAGGCTTACTCGCCTAACAACAGACTTTAATGTAATAGTTGAAGCATTGAGCAAATCTAAAGCAGAACTCATGGAAATCCGCGAAGATAAAACTAAAATCAGAAGATCTCCAACAAACCCCTCCCTGAAGTGACTGATGAGTATAAAAATGATGTAAAAACCAGATCTGTTCATATTAAAGGCTTCCCAATGGTGCAACCCTCGATGATGTCAAAGAATGGCTAGAAGATAAAGGTCAAATACTAAATAACCAGATGAGAAGAACATTACACAAAGCATTTAAGGGATCAATATTTGCTGTGTTTGACAGCATTGAATCTGCGAAGAAGTTTGTAGAAACTCCGGGCCAGAAGTATAAAGACATAGACTTGCTAATACTTTTTAAGGAAGATTATTTTGCAAAGAAAAATGAAGAAAGAAAGCAAAATAAAGTGGAAGCTAAATTAAGAGCTAAACAAGAGCAAGAAGAAAAACAGAAGTTAGCAGAAGATGCTGAAATGAAATCTCTAGAAGAAAAGATTGGATGCTTGCTGAAGTTCTCAGGTGACTTAGCTGATCAGACCTGTAGAGAAGATTTGCGCATCCTTTTCTCAAATCACGGTGAAATAAAATGGATAGACTTTGGCAGAGGAGCAAACGAGGGAGTAATTCTAGTTAAAGAAAAAGCCAAGGAAGCACTGGATAAAGCCAAAGATACAAATAATGGTAGCCTACAACTAAGAAACAAAGAAGTGACGTAGGAAGTACTGGAAGGAGAGGTGGAGAAAGAAGCTTTGAAAAAAATCATAGAAGATCAACAAGAATCCCTAAACAAATGGAAATCAAAAGGTCGCAGATTTAAAGGGAAAGGAAAAGGAAATAAAGCTGCCCAGCCTGGATCTGCTAAAGGAAAAGTACAGTTTCAGGGCAAGAAAACAAAATTTCATAGTGATGAAGAACATGATTAAAAATGGTGCAGCTGGACCACTGAAAAGAGCAAGAGAAGAAACAGACAAAGAAGAACCTGCATCAAAGCAACAGGAAACAGAAAACGGTGCCGGAGACCAGTAGTTTCGTAACCAATTTTTAAAAAATTCATCTTAGATTTTAAGCTGCTTTTTGTCTTTGGAGGCTTTTAAAAAGAAAACCGAATTAAGTCCACTTCAATGTCCACCTGTGAAAAAGGACAATCATTTTGTTGTTGTTTTAACTTGTCTTCTTGTTGTTGTTAGTCACACACATCTTTTTAAAAATGTGTAGTTCTGTTTGTGTTCACATGACTCAAATATCAAAAGGAAGATTCCTCCACTAAATTGCCTTTGTAATATGAGAATATATTAGCATAAAGTAACAAAATATATACTATATAAAAAGTAAAAAAAAAAATAAATAAAGAGGCCTGGGAATATAGCTCAAGGTGAAGGCCCAGGGTTCCTGCCTCAGTACTGAAAACAAAGAAATGAAGTGTGAAATTTGCGGCAAACACATTTGGATGTGAAACATGTATTTTCTTGTTCTATTTCAGCAGATGTCTCATCAAACATTGCAAAGATGATCATTGGTCCCCTCATTTTCGTCTTTCTCTTCAGTATTGTGATTGGGAGTATTTATCTATTCCTGAGGAAGAGGTAAGCGTGTGCTGGACTGGAGCATGGGTAGCAATGCGGAAACATTTGCCTAGATACAGGTATAGTAGAGCTGAGTTTATTGTAAATGTTACTGGATCTGCAACAGAAGATTTCCGACATCCGGTGGGGTTATCAGGATGAGGCCCCATCATAAATCGAGGAGCATCCATATAGTACAGACACTCCTCATTTAATGACTGAGTTATGTTCCTGTGACTAGGCCATTAAATGCATTGGTGGCTAGATGAGGAATTGTGTATCATATGTACAAAACAATATTCAGAAGAAGGAAATGGTCAAAGGAAACTCCAACTTGATGACTTATTTGCGTAACTCTTACATGCAGTACTATAATGTACAACAGAACACAAAACTACAATACTGTACAGTACAATCAGCAAAAATTACAGTACTGTATAAACAAGGTGGACTGCATGAAAAAGACACTGAAGCTCTATAAACAGGATGTATAGAACTGTACAAAAAATAGATGGGTCATAAGTCCAGGTGGCGGGTTGTAAGTCTGTACAGCATCCCTTGGTCAGTAAGTCTGAATAGACGTTAATCAGGTAGGTCATTAAATGAGGAATATCTATTTCCGTTGTATGGAGACAATTATGTCAACATGAGAGATGATGTTGATAACTTCAAGAGCATCGATCATAGTCAAATGTTGTAAAATAATTAGAAAGCAATGAGCTGAATTCTTACTGCTTAATAATTTATTGTTATTACCTTTGCTCTTAGTATAGTTTATTGAATTGTGATCCTCTATTTTTTTTTTTTTTGGTGGTACTGGGGGTCAAGCCCAGGGCTTCTCTTCCACTGAACTATACCCCCAGCCCTTTTTATTGTTTTTGAGACAGGGTCTTGCTAAGTTCCCCAGGCAGGACTCAAACTTGTGACCCTCCCACCTCAGCCTCCCTCGGTGCTGTGTCATTTCATTTTTCATGATGGTCATATTTAACAGTTGTTCCCCACCAGCTGGGAAGAGCTGGCTGTAGCATGGTACTGAGTGCGGAGCATTTAGGTGATACCCAGACAAGCCAGCCAGGGAGGGGCGGGCGTTCCCATGCTGATGGCATCTGTTTAGGAGTACATGGAAGGCTCCCTCTCTGCCGTGGCGTCTGTCTGGACAGACAACAGAAGAAATACACCAATCTGGATTTGTGCTGCGGGCCTTTACCACGGTGCGAACATTTACTCTGTGGCCAATTCCAAGATGCACAGAGTGCCGTGAGAATCTCAAGCTGTCCCCCTCTTCTCCCCCAGACAGCCGGATGGGCCAATGGGACCGCTGTACGCCTCCTCGAACCCTGAGTACCTCAGCGCCAGTGACGGTGAGTACCAGCCCCTGCCGCCATTGAGTGAGGGCTGAGGGCGGCTGACAGCCCGAGAGGGAGAGAAAGCCCCCTTGTCATTTGAGCTCGCCCACCTGCTCCTACTGCAGGAAGCCCGTAAGATGAACCCGTCTGAGGGGGCTGACATAGCTGATCTGGGGTCCTAGGGCTGAGACCTTTGTGCCACAGCCTTGGGAGTGCCGTGCTGGAGAGTGCAGCTGAGGTCAGGGCCAGAGAGCCCGGTCCAAACTTGCTGTCCACACTGGGAGGCGGGAATTGGAAGGTGAAACGGGAGCCTCAGGGCAAGAAGCAGCAAGTGATGGCTGGCTGAGCTGGGGAGACACGTTCTGTGGTTGGTGGCAGGTGCACGAGGGTAGTGTTGATGTTCAGGCTCAGGTGAGACCGATACTGATGGCAAGTGCACCCCCTTGTCCTTGACTGTACCCAAGGGCAGTGAGCGACCTGGGTAGACAAGGCACAGTTGTTTCTGAAGAGATGAAGGAATCCATTGTGTCACAAGTTTTTCAAGTGCTTCTTGCAGAATTTGACTTCTGAGGCATGAATGTGACTGGCCAGTGGCATGCTGCCCTGGGATGGCCTCACTCCCCTGTCTGGGGACCAGCAGGATGGGTGGCCCCAAGTGGGGGTCACAGAGCCTCCCTCCCTCCCTCCATGTGGCTAGCCTGGGTGTCATTCTGTGGTGTGCTCTGGAGGTTCCTTGCAGCAAGAAAGGGCACGCTCCAGGACTGAGGGGCCCTCCTCATCTCTGCTTGGGTTGGATGTGTTGATGCCCGTTAACCAAAGCAAGTACCACAAGGCCATGTCCAGGATTAAGAGATGGGGGCATAGAGTCCACACCTTTCTGGGAAGAATCACCAAGTACTAGGGCCATCTTGGTTTTACAACCCAACCTCCATCCTCTTTGCACTTTATAGCTCCAGCGGAAGTGGTGCCATTCAGTAGCAGGAGTCTGAAATCAGCAAGGGGTAGGGATGCAGGCCTGGCTGAACACATACAGGCTAGGATCTTAGACTGGGGTTGGCTCCTTCCGTAGACTCTGCCACCTTTTCCAATGCCCTGTTCTCCAGAATATGCCCCATGCCCAGCATAGGTCCTGGATCACAGAATGAGTGAACATTGTGGGGGACTCAGACAAGGGCTGTGAGAGGGAGTGGCTGGGAACCCCCAAGGGATTGGTCAAGAGTGCCATGTAGATAAGTGAGAAGTAGTATTTCCCTGTTCTGTGTATGTGCCGGACGAGTGGGAGGTCCCTCGAGAGAAGATCACCCTCCTGAGAGAGCTGGGGCAGGGCTCCTTTGGCATGGTATACGAGGGAAATGCCAAGGACATCGTCAAGGGTGAGGCAGAGACTCGAGTGGCGGTGAAGACGGTCAATGAAGCAGCCAGTCTCCGAGAGAGGATCGAATTCCTCAACGAGGCCTCCGTCATGAAAGGCTTCACATGTCATCACGTGGTGAGTGTGACTTGGATGGGGCGAAGGCTTTCTTTCATGTCCTTTCCCTCACTGAACCTCTTCCTACCACACAGAGCCACCAAGGACAGTGGGTTCAAACCCTTGTCCACTCCCTACCTGGCCAAGCCTCCCATCCTAAAGATTTTGGGAGAAATCTCTCCCTTCTCCATCCCACCTTCTCCCTCCTCACTTGGAACAAAACTCTCTCTCTCCCTCTCCCTCTCCCTCTCGCTCTCTCTCTCTCATCACTTTCCAGAATTTTCTGTCACTTTCTGGAATCTTCTCTTGGTTTCTAGACTGTTCTATGGGTGTCCAGAATTTCTCATCACTTTCCAAAATTTTTCATTGCTGTCCAGAATTCTCCTTTGCTTTCTGTAATCTTCCATCTAGTCCCTCTTCCTGGCTCCTTTGTAACTGCTAACTACATGGACATCCACCCATTCCTACCTGCCTTCATTCTTGCTTCTCCTTGAAGCTAACACAAACCTATCTTTCCTTTCTGAGCCCCTTGGTTTCTCTTTGGGCCTTATATCCTTTCATTCTTACCACGCACATTTATGAGAGCTCTTAGGCCCCTTTCTTGTTCATGATGCACCAGAAGGTGCGTCCTTATGAAGCCCCCAGGACAGCAGGTGGTGGGGACAGATTCCAAACCCAAAGTGCTCATGATGTGCTAGGAGATGTTATGCAAAAATAAAAAAAGAGCCAGGTGCGGTGGCACACAGCTGTAATCTTAGCATTCAGGAGGCCGAGCCAGAAGGATCATGAGTTCAAGGGCTACTGGACTATAGAGTGAGACCTTGCCTCACAAAAACAAACAGACAAATAGTGAAAAGAGGGAACGGTTGGAGTATATTTGAGCAAAGACTTCAAGGATGTGAAGGACTGAGTTCTACGGTTGTGGGAGGGAACAGAATCAGGCAGAGGGAACAGTTAATGCAGGAACAACTAAGGAGGTAGGGAGGTGCCTTGTGTGCTCAGAAACACTTGGGGGTGGGATTTTTTGGACTGCCACTGTGTGTAACAGGTCTGTCCCCTCCCCGCCAGACTAGGGCTGACTGAGCTCCATCCAGGAACTGGGCTATGCATGTGCCTTGGGCACTAGACAGACTGCAGTGAGTTGAAATCATCCCACAGACCCTCACTCAAGAACCCTGTGCTTACTCCACAGGTTCGCCTCCTGGGAGTGGTGTCCAAGGGCCAGCCAACGCTGGTGGTGATGGAGTTGATGGCCCATGGAGACTTGAAGAGCTACCTCCGCTCCTTGCGGCCAGAGTCTGAGGTGAGTTGCTTCTAGGTCCCTGGCCAGACATCTGCTCCCCTCCTGCGGGTACCAGTGTCCCTGAAGACCACCTCGTGTTTCAACTTTAGAATAACCCCGGCCGCCCTCCCCCTACTCTACAAGAGATGATTCAGATGGCGGCGGAGATTGCCGATGGGATGGCGTACCTGAATGCCAAGAAGTTTGTGCACCGAGACCTGGCAGCTCGAAACTGCATGGTTGCCCATGATTTTACTGTCAAAATCGGAGGTTTGTCTTGCGAAATTTTTTTTTTTACTTTGAAATGTATGACCCAGACCAGTTTTGGTTGCAGAATCTCTTCCGATAGTGTCAAGGGGGCAGAATTTGGGGCGGGGGTCCAAGTTTCCAGCTGTAATTCAATTGCACTTATTGGCGAACTCATTCACCTTTTCACATCTTTAGAGAACATGCATGTACTTTGTAGGTGCCAGCCACAGCAGTAGGTGCTGGAGAGGTAAATGGGGATAAATCACCATGATTTTCTGCCCTCACGAGGCATGCAGTCTTTATCTGTACCACCTGGCACAGAACAGAACGGTCCTATTGGTTGTGGCCATTTACATTTAAATGAATTTAAATTAAAGTAAACATCCAGTGCAGGCACTGCACTAGCCACAATTCATGTGTTCCATAGACTCCTGAGATAACTGGCCGCCATATTGGATAATGCAAATATAGGTGATGCCCATGACCACAGGAAGTTCTACTGGGCTGGACTGCTTCAGATAAACAGGGAAGTAGTTCACACTTACAAAACGAGATAAGGAAGACTGGGTACACAGCATTGAAGAAAATAAAAAGTTCCATGGCAGAGGGAAGGAAATGGCTCTCCCTGAAAGAAGGCAATGTGTCAGCCATGACTGGCAGGATGCAGAGTGCCTTTGGGGAGAGGAACAGCTGATGCATAAGGCCAAGGGGCTGGAAAGAGGGTGACAGGGCGCAAATAAAATGAATGTAGGGGACCAGAGCAGCATTAGATGTGAAGTTGAGCTGAGAGGCAAGAACCAGACTTATAAGGGTCTTGCCAGTCACGGGAAGTCATCTTGCTCTTGTCTAGCAAAGCCAGTGGGAAGCAGGGAGGGACATAATCCTACTCGTTATCCCAAAAGACATTCTTGTACATTAACAATGAGAATCAGGAAGGGGTATGAGCCCATTAATGATCCCAAATGATACTTTACATTAGCAATGGGAGTGGAAAGGGACGCGATGCTATCCATAGGGCTTCTCTTGGACAGTGGGCTGTCCATTATCAAGCGGGAAAGATGGGCCCCCTGGTAGAGAGGGTGGTGGAACTTGGTGGTGCCAGGGTAATGAAAAGAATGGATGGATTAGGAGAGATGTAGTGGAAGAATGGGATGGATCGGCTTCTGTCTTGGACGTGGGTTGTGAGGACAGAGTGTGATCAAAGAACAGCCTGGGTCTAGGTTCTGACTGGACAGCTGGCTGGACAGCAGGGCTCTATTCAGTGGAGAACTGTAAGCCCAGAGTTCCCAGGGATGTGCCCTGTGAGGGTACAGATGGGAAGAATGCATAATTGAGATGAGGTTCCAAGCTTGGGGCCAGAATGTCACTTCCTTATCACTTGGTGCCTCGTTTTCCCTCTCTTTAAATGGTGCCCCATGTTCTCTTTATACTTCCCCATGAAGACCCTCTCTGGATTCGGCCTTTACCTAGGTGAACACACACCCAAGGGGCAGATGAGCCATTCTGAGGGCTCTGTGAGGGGCGGAGCAGTCAGACAGCAGATGTTGGGGCCACATGCTGAAGGTTGTGAGTGTATGAACTGTTTGTTTCCAGACTTTGGAATGACCAGGGACATCTACGAAACGGATTACTACCGGAAAGGGGGCAAAGGTCTGCTCCCTGTGCGGTGGATGGCACCGGAGTCCCTGAAAGATGGGGTCTTCACCACTTCCTCCGACATGTGGTGAGTTGTGCACGGGTTGGTGGACAGATGTGCTGGGCTTGAATGTCAGGTGATCTGCTAGTGCAGAGGAAAGGCTGTCTGTCTCCTTCAGGTCTCCCAGGAAGTGAAGGAGTGTTTTTCTGAGGACCTTTGCAAGGGGATCCTTACATTCTGATTGTAATCTTCCTAAGTTCCTGTAATCTTACAGGAACTTAGGAATTGCAATTGCAACATGAATTGTCTTATTTATTGGCCAACTGGGTTCTAATAAACCAGAAGAGAGGATGTGTGTATATTTGTGTGTCTGACTATGTGTTTTACCAGCTTCTTTTTTGACTACTCTGTCATTGGCAGGTCCTTTGGTGTAGTCCTTTGGGAAATCACCAGCTTGGCAGAACAGCCTTACCAAGGGCTGTCTAATGAACAGGTGTTGAAATTTGTCATGGATGGAGGGTATCTGGACCAGCCTGACAATTGTCCAGAGAGAGTGTAAGTGTAGAAGGGGTATGCGGTGTGCAAGATGTTCCTCAAAAAGACATTGTCCTTTACACGTTTGCATGTTTGCCTATCATATGTTTCCATGCATGGTTGTGCTTGCAAGCCATATGCCTACTGTGTGTTTGTTTGAATAACCTGTTTTTCTACATTCTTGTGTTTGCACATCACATTTTACGTGCAATTTATGTTTGTATATTGCATTTTGCACTCACACTTGCCTGCATATGTGCTTGTGTTAGCATATTATATCTTACACATGTGCTGTGTTTGCATAGCACATCAACATGCATGCACATGTTTTCATAATAAATAGTTATAAGCACATTTGTATTTGAATTCATGTCTACATGTCATATCTTTGCGTGCACACTTAAGTTTGCATATTCTATGTCTTACATATCATATCTTTATATCTGTGGCTGCCTCTGGATATCATACGTCTACATTCATGCATGTGTTTCCACATCATTACATGTATGCTTTTCTTGCATGTCACATCTTTGGAGGGTTGTATAAGCAACCTAGAGCAGTGGTTACCTCTGGAGAAGGGAACATGAGTGGGAACACGAGAGACCTCTGTATGGTTGCTTTTTTCTCTATACGCTTAAAATTTTGCTTTGTTTCCCCAAACTATTTTTGTTTTAAGTTTTTGTTAGTGAATGAAATGGTCAACATATGTGCATGCCATTAAACATTAGGAAAAATGTCCACCCTTGTTAATGGTGTTAATAAATGTAAAAAAAATACGGGCTTCTAAAATTAGAAAGAAAAGGAAAAGAAATGAAAAAGAAGAAAAGAAGAAAGAGAAAGAGTTTTAATATTCAGTGGTAGAAATGGTGTTGCTAGAAGCCAAACATGGTGGTGCACACCTGTAATTCCAGGACTCAGGAGGCTGAGGCAGGAGGATCTCCTTGAGTTCAAGGCCAGCCCGGGGTGCATAGTTCAGAGCCAGCCTGAACTGCATAGTGAACCCTTGTCTCAAAAAACAGAACAAATCAAACAAAAAAAGTAATGGTGTTGCTAGATAACCATTGTTATCACTCTGTTACAGTAGCTATACAGAACAATGTTATTTGAAGTTGTAAAATAGGAAAAGAAAAGAAAATGAACAAAATATTCAACAGTATGAGACTTCTGAAGAACATTGATAATATTAATATGGCATAATAATTGAAATTTCAAATGGTGCTTATAGGATATGTTATAACTCAGCAGAAAACTTACATTAAACTATCAGGTGGAAAAATTAGGTATTTATTCCACTTCCAAATATGTCAGTTAGAAAAGACCTGGGATTATAGTTGAAGGAGAGTTGTATTTTCTATACACAGTATTTTAGGAGTGGTTTTAAACTTTATACAGTGAGTACTTATTACATAGAAATTCCTTTACCATTCTGTATTAAGTTTTTGTGCTTCTGAAATTTTATGGAGGGAGATCCTTTTAATGCTTCCTCCCCCAAAGAATAAGACATCTATGACAAAAATGTATGAAGCAGAGTTATTTGGTAACTCTTAGCAAAATATTTCTAAATATTTCCTTATGAAGGACTGTGCCTAACTATGTGAACTTGGGCCAGGTGTGGTTCCAGAATCAGGGAAATTAAGTAAGGTCTGGGATAGGGGTTCACCTACTTTCCCTACAAAAGGCTGCAGTGTAAATATTTTCAGCTTCATGGGCCACGTGGCTTTCTGTTGAAGCTACTCAGCCCTGGTTGCAGTAGCTGGAAGGCATCTGTGGACATTACAGAAATGAATGGGTATAAGCACATCTATGACCAGCTATAGCTATATATATATATATATATAAAGCTGGGTAAAATCCACACGGTTGGACCTGCTATGGCACAGGCATCCCAACCCCAAATGGTGTCTAAGCCTAGAATTCCTGGTGGGCACAGCGAAGTCTTTGAAGCAGGCCTGGGAAGGAGTGAAACCTTATCAGATTCCCAGGGAATGGGAGCCAAGCATGTACAAAATGTGCCACTTTCTGGAACCAGACAGAGCCCTTTTGGCTCGTTTGTTTGTTTTAGTAGAGGGAATTGAACTACAGGGCTTTTTCACTGAGCTACATCCTGTCTTTTGTTTTATTTTGAGACAGGGTCTTGCTAAGTTGCCCAGGCTAGACTTGAACTTGTTATCCTTCTGCCTCAGCCTCCTAGAGTGCTGGGGTTATAGTCATGCACCACCAGTCCTGATTTCAGATTTCTTTTCAACACTGTCTTCCAGCTGGATGTGGCGGTGCACACTTACAATCCCAGCAGTCTGGGAGGCTGAGAGGCCGGCAGATTCGAAGTTTGAGCTTAGCTTGGGCAACAGAAACAAAACTCTTCAGCACCCCTCGAATTGCTGTTTCTGCCTTGATATTTGGCCACACAGGGCCACCCGCTGCCGTGAGAGCTCAGCATCCCTGGGCGGGGCTGCTTGGCTGGGCTACCAGACTCACCACATGTCCCTCTGTCCCTCAGCACTGACCTGATGCGCATGTGCTGGCAGTTCAACCCCAAGATGCGGCCGACCTTCTTGGAGATCGTCAGCCTGCTGAAGGATGACCTTCATCCCAGCTTCCCAGAAGTCTCCTTCTTCCACAGCGAGGAGAACAAGGCCCCTGAGAGTGAGGAGTTGGAGATGGAGTTCGAGGACATGGAGAATGTCCCCTTGGATCGGTCCTCACACTGTCAGAGGGAGGAGGCCGGGGGCCGGGAGGGAGGGTCCTCGCTGGGCATCAAGCGGAACTATGAAGAGCACATCCCGTACACCCACATGAACGGGGGCAAGAAGAACGGGCGGATCCTGCCCCTGCCCCGGTCCAGCCCTTCCTAACAGTGCCTGCTTGGGGAAGGGCTTCCCGCGTTTTTCTACTTTCCTCTGGTTTGGACGCCTCCAGAAAACTCAGGATTCTCACGACTCTACCCTGATGTCAAACGGAGCTCAGATTGTTCCCAAACATTTTTGCGCATCTTTTGACCTAAAGCATACGGATGTGATTGCTGATCCAACTCATCGTCCTCAGAGGATTTAACTGTGAACCGAGAGGGAAAGGGGTTTCCACGGCTGCTGCCTTTTTGGGGCATAAACAGTTTCAAACCAGGACTCTTTTTTTTCTGTTTTTGTAGGAGATTGAGGGAAAAAAGCACCTGTTTTTACAAAGATGTTTTTTCTTTTTTTTTTTTTGCTGGTGTCTGAGCTATAAGATAAATCTTGTTTGTGGAACAAAAGTTGGCAAGAAAGGAGAAGCAAAATCCCGTTTCAGGAGAATTCGAAGCTTGACAGGGTGAGCTTTGAGAAATTTTTCTCATCCAGGTGGAAGGATTTTATTTTTCTTATTCACAAAATCAGTTCCTCAAATTGACCAATAGCTGCTGCTTTCATATTTTTGATAAAGGGTGTGCAGTCCCCACTTGTCTGCACATACACATGTGTGCATCAGTATGCATGTGTGTCCAGGTTAGAGCCTGCTGGTGTGTGTCCGGGTGTGCAACACATTCATGCTGGGTTGATGCTTTGGGTATTGGCTCATGAAGGTTCTGCTGTTCAGTGTGTTTAAGCTCACATCCTTTTCTCCCCTTCCTTTGTGTTACTGGGAGACGGTGTCCTCAACAGATTCTTCTCATGTAGAAATATTGCCTCAGGTGTTGTCTCTTGTTCCTGTTGGTGACAAAATGTTTTCCAGGAGCTGAGTGAGAAGCATTTAGATTGGAGCGATTGTGGATCTCCAGAAGACCAAAAAAAAACCAGAACAAAAAAAATGGAAGAAAAAGAAGAAGAAGGAGGAGGAGGAGGAGAAGAAGAGGAAGAAGAAAAGAAGAAAAGGAAATAGAAGAAGAAAGAACTGAGATGACAAAGAGTATTGAGAACATATTTGTAACGTATCTAATTTTTAGGGAATCTCTGGCAGCCTCCTAAGTTATTGACTATCTCCTGGGTGTTGGGTGGGAGATGGTGCGTGGGTCTGCCTGTGGGGGAGAGGGAGCGAGGCCTGAATGTCCTCCTTGTTCAGTCTCAAAGGCATCCTTTTCTGGGAATTAAGCCACATTAGCTGCTAACCCTTTTGGACATCGTGAGGCCATGCGGAGTATGTGGGCGGCTGGGTTTTGTGGATGGTCTGGCTCAGATCCTAAGGTCTGCAGGAAGTTTCCTGCTTGGATAAGCTGATGATTACCTAGAGCTGAGCCTGCCTTTGGGAACCACTGTGTGCATCCAGTGGTTCTCTGCGTGTACCTTACCTCTGAGGCACTCCTTCTCCTGGGTGTGTATCTTCCTCAGTTATTATGCAAACACAACAGAATCTGATCCCAAAGATCCACAACAATGGATGGACTTTGAAAATGCTAAGCAATATTAAAGGAGATGCCCTGGGAAAACCTGTGGGTGCCCCTCTACTCTTGGGGCATCTGACTGTCCTCAGAACCAAACTCCCAGAGCTGCTCTGTGCCCAGGGACCACAGCTGGGCCAGATGTGGTGCCTGAGGGAATATATTTCTCAGGTGCTTATAATGTTGCAATCCCTAAGAGACTTCAAGTCTGGAGGAGAAACCATCAAAGGCCTTCCTATCAATGAGAACTTCCACATGGATGTGACTCCACTGTTTCTTCTTCATGTGAAAAGAACCACGGCTGCTCAAGTGAAGAATGTGGTGAACCTACTACTTGGATTCATCAAAATGATCACCCATGGGTTCTCCCTGAGTGTATTTTCTCATAAGTGTTCGATTGCTTCCTTTTTTCTTAAGAGTTGTGGGATAGACACATAATGACAACCTCCAAGGCCTCTCAATTCTTGATTAAGAACACAGGTACACACAAATCCCAATTGCCTATTGCTGTTATTTATATGATTTGAGAAATTACAGTGTGCAAAATATTGCTGGGGAGCATCCACAGTGGATACAAGAAGCAGGAGTATAGAAATTATTTTTGCCAAAATTAATTTATAAATAGAAATGGGTCTGTATGTAAATTAAAGACACACGTAGATCTAGGTATTTTGTTCTTTTCATAGTAAATTTGTAGTGGCCATATACTACAGTAGCAGCAATTTTCACATTTTTCTAATTCAGAAAGGTTTTTCTTATATTACTGGGGGAAAGTATTTATTTTAATATATAAAATTACTCTAAAATCACTTTCGAAAAAATGGAATGCATGTAAATTTTTATCAAGGAAAAATAAATAGGTGAATGTGGGTATGATTTTTTTTTCAGCACAGTCTACCTCAGTGTATTGTTAGGATGTGGTTCAGTTACGGACATCTTTGAGACATCTGAATTGTGTTCGGATCCAATCTGTATTAGGGAAAATAGGTATCAACTGATTCTGAATGCCAAGGACCAGTAAGGATTTTGAGGGAGGAAGTTGGGATGGAGAAGTTGTAGCCTTCACATGAACGTAAATCCTTTTACTCCTGGCTGATAATATTCTCTGAGTTTAATCTTCATTTTAAAAATGGAATCTTCTATCTATTGACACCACGCTCCCCAAACATAAGCCAAGGCTTAGGCCATGAGGGTGTCTCTGATATATGAGGTACGTGGTCTTATCTTCCTCTGTGAGAGGGCAGCGTCCCGTGTCCTATTGAGGTGAAGACAACCTTTGACTCACAGCCAGCACCTCACTGTCTCCCCAAGTCCCCCAGAAGTGAGTACAAAGGTGCTCAGGCTCTCTGATGCTTTGTTCCCACTCCTTTCAGACTGGTGATGCTCTCTGTGGACAGAATGAATTTCATTCTTGGGCACCTCACATCTAACAACTACAGCAATGTTTCATTTTTTTCTTCTGAGTGGGAAGGAGGTATTTTTGGAAACCCCGGTCTGAAACTCATCCGTGTACTGAGTACATTTTTAGCAACAAAACCTTGGACCCCTGCGTAAAGGTTTGGTTGACCTCAAGTGGATGCTGATTGACTTTGTGCAAATTTGAGAACCCATCTGCAGCTCTAGGCAGGGCCAGCATGGTTGCTGTCACACCCTCTACACCTCACTCTCTTGTAGTTTTAGATTCTGCCCTTCCAGACTCACCCTTCTCGACCTGCCCTGGAGAGGGATAGAGTGCTGGGCCCACCCTGTGTGGGTGGGACATCACCAATTTCATCCTGATTCATGATACTGCATGGAAAAGAACAAGCAGTTGAAGGGTTACAAATTTCCTTTTATCATTGGGAAATGTTGACTTTGGAACAACAGAACTTTGGCTATAGAAAGGTGCAAATGTCCTGAGAATTTGTAGTGATGGATTACAAAAAAGCAACAAAACCAGATTGGGTTGACACTTCGTTTGTTTTTTAAAGAAGGTGCACTATTAGAAAACATTTTTTCTTAAAATAGTGGAATCTATGCTGTCATAGTTTCTTCTTCTAGGAGGAGAATACCAAACATCCCTTTCTCCGCGGGTCAGTCAGTGCTAGCAACCACATACCAGGAAACGATTGTGTTTGGGGAGCTGTCCTAGGTCCTGTCCTGTCATTTGAAGTTAGTACAGAGGGGAAGCATTGCTGGTTCTTTGGATATAGGCTGAGCAAAATTGACTGAAAATGTGGGAATTGATACAAGGATCTGCATGTAAAATGCTGTGATTTCTGGGAATTATGCCACCAATCAATGGGCAGATCTTCCACTCTGTCACACCAAGGCACAATAAGATGCACGTATTGAGTTGGGAGCTATTTATTGCAGCCCACTGTAACACTGGACACTGGCTGTTTCATCACCAGGGCCTGGCCTGTACTGGCCACCTTGGCAATGAATGGATGTACCATTGTCCCAACAAAAGTCATTCTCCTACTTCATGGTGGGTGGGAGTTTGGGGTTAAATGTCTTTTGGATGCCATCTGGTGAGTTCTTGATACATTAGGCTCTTCAGAAATTATGGATTTGTTGGGGTTGGGGAAAGAGGAATGGTGATTTTTTTATATAAAGGGTGCACATAGAGTAGAACCATTTTGAAAAATCTTCAAAAATTTAATTTACAGCAGAGTGGAGGCTGGAAAAGGGAAGAACAGACCCAACAGTTGTTCAGAACACATAATAGAATATGATGGACTTTTCAGAAGTTGTGACCTAAGACAAATGTGTCTTTAGGGGTCCCTAAGACAGGGAGGGAAGTAATGACTTTTATTGAGGTCATTGTCACTTTCTGCTAACCATCAAAGTCCAGGACTAGCCTCCAGCCAAATTTTATCTAAGTGTGGGCCTCAAAAATCCTTGATAGAAACCAGATCATGAATCTAGGGCTCTTGGTTCCATTTGAAAAGGAAGGAACAGCTCCCGGATGCATGTGCAGTCACGCACATATTCAGGAATGGCTTGTTTGGTCTTTATACTTTGTGTCAAAGTTGCTGCTCCTTGTCCTTTCGTGTGCCTAGGTGGCCTCAGCCCTGCGTGTTAGCGGCGCAGGATCCAATGTGCCACAGCTTTTGCTGAAAATAACTCAGAAACACAAAACCCACCCAAATCTCAATTATTATTTTTTCAATGTTTTCCTACAAGAGCCAAGTAGCATCATGTACAGACTATGCCTTTTTTAGAGGGAGGGGAATTGAAATTTTTCTGCATGTAAAATATGGAATAATTACTTGTTTATATTAAAATTCTGAATAAATTATCTGAGAATACTCTTGTTTCTGTGGGGTGTCCAGCCTGGCCTGTGTGAGGTTGTGGTTTTAGGGTGAGCTGTCTTAAGGGAACCCCTTGGGAAGTTGCTGGTTCTGAGAGATAATGAACTCCTACATTCTTCAGTGCATGACTCTGAAAGTTAATAGTTCTGTCTGGCAGAGCTGATGATCTGCATGCACATACCTGTACAGCCAAACTGGTGGCCTAAATATTGCACCAGGGCTGAGATTGTAGCTCAGTGTTAAAGCATTGTTCCATCCCAGCACTACAAAAACACAGAAGGAAACAAACCAAATAAAAATAGCATTCTTTCCATACCCAGTTGGTAAATATTTGCTTCCCCGGGGGACCCTGGGCTTCCTCATGATACAGTCAAAAAGCAGTTCACTCTGGGAGTACCAGTGAGCTTGCTCTATTCCAATGTGTTGGACCCTTTTTAAGCATTTTTAATGTCATCTTGGGAGTGCAGACCTGCCCCCAAGGTGGGTGGGTGGAGCACGGATTACAAAGGTAATACTGGACAATAGTCCTTGAGCTGGATACAGGATACAGTGTTTAAGAAGGAAGACTCCCCACCTTTAACTCACCGTGTGGCTTTTTGTGAGTCATAACTTCACATGCTAGTTTTTTGCTGTGTAACAAACATCCCCAGAACTTAGTGGCTTACAACAGCAAACTTATTTTTATTAAATATATTTTTAACTGATACATGTAAATATAAAAATTGTATATATTAATAGGGTACTTTTTAATATTATGTACATATATACATTGTATAACATCCAAAGAAGGTTAATCATATTTATCTTCTCCCACACTTAGAATTTCTCTATCGTGAAAACTTTCATAATCCTTTCCTCTAGCCTTTTGAAATGTATAGTATATTATTGTTGTCTATAGTCACATGATTGGCAATAGTACAGTGGAGATACTTGCTCTGATCAAACTGTAACTTAGTATCTATTGACAACCTTTCCCAGCCCTCCCTCCTCCTCTCTCCTGTCTCCATGTGTTTGTTAACCACGAATATGCTCTCCATTTCTGTGACATCTTGATTAGATTTCACATGTGAGATCATGTATTATTTCTGTGCTTGACTTATGCACTGTACACCATGATCTCTAGTTTCACCCACGTTGCTGTGAATGACAGAATTCTTTCTTATGGCCATATAGCATTCCATCAGGTATGTGTACTACATTTTCTTTATCCACTAGTTGATGGACACAGAATCTATTTCTTGGATGTTTTGAATAGTGCTGCAATGCTGTGGGCCTGCAGATGTCTCTGACATCTGTGATTTCATTTCCTTTGAATATATACCTGGTAATGAGAGTACTGGATCAAACATTTATTTCTAATACATGTTGGCTTGGTGGCTCATAACCTGTCTGAGGCTGTTTCTGGGACAACTGAAATTGCTCATCTTCCAGGAGGCTAGCTCAGGCAGGCCCAAGAGGGAAGAAAGAATGATCCAACATGTAAACACTTTGCAAATATCTGCTTGGGTGGTTTGTTGCTGTCCTGTTGCCCAAAGTAAGTCACACACCCAAGCCCAGAGTCAAACCCAATTTGGACCAATCCTGCAATAACCTCCCATACTTCTTAGTGTACCTTTCTACAATTTTTTTTTTTTTTTTTACCAGGGATCAAACTCGGGTCCTAGTGCTTGTGAGGCAAGCAGCGGAACCACTGAGCTAAATCCCTAGCCCCCGTTTCTACTATGGAAGACGACATACCTTATTTCATATGACTGTGCTGAGGACAAAGTGAGGCAACACTGGTCCTCCATAGCTTATCCCAAATATTCTTCACACACTCCCAAACCTGTCTAGTTTCCTCATTCTCTAGTAAATCCATGCAGCTGCTAACTGGCAGAGGTCACAGCCTATATTATGCCTCTCTGGATTTGTGAAATTCAATACAAGCCTCTTGAAAATGGAAATGCTTTTTTCCCAAGGAAAGATTTTCAAATGATGTTTCACTCTCAAGGACAGTGGGTGGGCATGTGGTCTGTGTGCTCAGAGATGCTACCTTGACACATTGAAACTCCTATGCATGTGACTACCATATGGTTGATCAGGGTTGCTGGAGGCCCCAACCTGGAGGTGGGGGTGTCTGTCACTGGGTTCTTGGAGTTTATTCCTGAGCCTTGAGACTCTTTGTCAGAATCACACTTGTTAATCAAACAAGTGTTTCTAGGCCACACATGGTTCCCCTCATGGAGCACCTCATTAGTCTGCTTTCTGCTGCTATGACAAAATACCTGAGGATGGATACTTTGCAAAGAAAAAAGGGTTATTAACTCATAGTTCTGGAGGTTCAAGAGCATGGTCGTGGCTTTGTGGGGGGGGCTTCTTGTCTTCATCACAACACGGGTGTCATCATGCTGGGAGTGTGCATGAGGGAGAGACCACATCACATGAAAAGACAGGAAGCCAGAGATTAGGGAAGGGCCAGGCTAGCTCTCTTACAAAGACTTATTTTCATGGGAACCAGCTTGCTCTGTGAGATCAGGAACCATGTCTTCCACCAGCAATTCCCTCAATGTCCTAATTTCTCCCACTCAACCCTTTCCTAGCTCTCCAGCCTCGGTGAAAGCTGCACAATTCTAACATCATGAAGTTGACTGTGCTGCCAAAAATTTTGCCTTCCAGGTGACTCACAAAGAATTGTACACCCAAGATGTCTTTCTAGAAGGTTTTATTGTAGTCAGGAATCCACAGGACACCAGTGTGGTACATGCTTTACCTGACTGATTATACTGGGTGCTGTCCAAATGCAATGGATGTCAGTGTGGACAGACTGGAGTGGATGGTGTAGTGGGTGTAGTGGATGCTGTGGTGGAACTGCTGCAGTGGATGTGATGGATGTTGGGAGTGGTCCCACTGTAGTGGATGGGCAAGTGGAGTGGTGGGCTCACTCTAATGGATGTTGTAATGTGACATCTAGAACACCTCTTCAAACCCAGTAGTCAGTCTTCTAGCTGTCAGGACTCTAGTCTGCTGGAGATACACAACTGAGTCCTCCTGGGACCTTCCTGAGTTTTAAGGCACCTGGTGTATCCAAAGTTATGCCCCTCCCCAGAGCTGGCATATCTGATAAAAGGTCGATGTGGGATACTGAAGCCTCACTCATGTCTAAATGTGTTCTCAGTTGAAAATTCACTATCTATGTATGTATAATCTATCTATCATCTATCTATAGGTATAGATAACAGTTTAGACAATGATATAATTAGATATAGATTCCAGAACCTCAGAATGTGACCTTATTTGAAAACAGGGTTATTGCAGGTCTAATTAGCTGAGATGAGATCATCGGGAGTAGGGTGGGGCCCTAATCCATTTGACTCATGCTCTTATAGAAAGTGAAATTTTCACAGAGATGCACACAAGGAGAACGCTGTGTTCAGATAAAGACCAAGATCTGCCAAGACTTCTTCAAAGCAAGGATGTCACGAAACATTGTCAGCAACCACCAGAAGCTAGGAGGCAGGACAAAGATCTTCCCTTACCACCCTCAGGAGGAACTAGCCCTGCCAATGCCCCACTTCAGGCTTCTGGCTTCCAGACTGTGAGACAACAAATTTCCATTTTTTAAGCCTTCGCAGGCTGTGATATTTGTTATAGCATCTCTGGAAACCTGATTCAATTCAGGACAAGTCTGAGGAAACACCACAGCTTTTTATGCTCCTGTGGAGTCAGGTAAGGCTTTGGTTGTGGCTGTGTGAAGTTGAATTTCTCCCTTGGCTCTGGTTTGTTTCTCTTTAACTCTTATGGGTATTGATGCCAAGGTAGCTCTGATAAACCTACTGCATATAAACATCCGTCTTTGTTTATTGCTGTGTAACAAACATCCCCAATACTCAGTGGTTTAAGACAGCAAACAATCACTGTTTCTCACCATTCTGCAGGCCAGGCAAGTAGTTCTTTGAGTCTAGATTGGCATGTCTGACCTCTTAGATCTGCAGAAGGTTTTGCTGGAACTGACTGATTTTGGATGGCTGCACTGGCCTGATGGTGATGGCTTGCTAGGGAATCTCTGGGTTCTGCCCCCCGGGAGCCCAATCTACCACAGCCAGAGATGTTCGAGCCTCAGGAAGTCTCTCAGTTCTCTATACAGAAGTTGAACCAGAGAGGGATTGTGAGCTTTCCAAGGTCACACAGCCAGTAGTTGCTTGGCTCATATTGCATTTTGTCTAGAAGACCTCCAGGTATGTTGCTATTACAGCAGTGGGTAGAGACAGGGAATTCCCATTGTGCGGTTCTGTGGGTGCCCTGAGAGAAACAGAATACCAGCTGGTGAGGGCTTCCATGGTCAAGGGTACCACTGAGGTATGAACGGATTCACAGCAAGGCTTCCGCGTTAGAGAACCGGGAATTGGACAGTTGTTTACTGGGTGATCATAGACAACTCATTAAACCTCCCCACGCTTCTGTTTCTTCACTTTTTCACAGATTTGCTTTTGTAGTATTATTATGGGATGATGTCGGATGAGACAGGAAAGGCATTCAACACAGACCTTGGCACACTGGGTAAGATCAGTAAGTGTGAGCGGCCTTCTGACATTCCTTACTGAGTCCCGTGAATGACTTTCAAAGTCTTCAGGACTGTTACAGCCTCACCTGGTGTAATGCTCAGGACAACCCCTAGATGGGGATCATGAATCTCAGGGAGTCCAAGGAATATTCTGACTCCCTGTCTTGGCACATTAAGGACAGTGGCTTTGGCAGTTGTCTAATTGGTGATTGTGTCAGACAGCTTTCTGTTGCTGTGGAAAAATACCTGAGGAAAAAAACTTAAAAAGAAGAATAATCTAAGAGTATGGTCTTAGAGAATAGTTTCTCTGGTGTGAGAAAATGAAAGTGTAAATAAGGATCAAAATGTATAATAGATAATGTGAAATGGGAAGAAAAGGTCTAAAGGGGAAGGGGAACTGGGAGGGGTAGGGGAAAGGAAAGGAGGGAAAGAAAAAATATGAGAAAAGGAAAAAATG